ATGGTTTTTTAGAACAAGTAAAGCTGTGACAGGGATCCCCTCCCCCCTGCCCTCACTGCCCCCCAATAACAGGGACTGGGGAGAACTGGGAAGCTTTACTGGGAACACTGGGAGCAGCCGGCTGGGGTCAGAATAAAAGCAGGTCCGAGGGGGACACACGACCCCCCAAACTCAGCGTGGGGATGGACTGGGGGGTCCCGGCTGGGCCTGAGGCCACAGGGAGGGGCTGCGGCCGCCGGCGGCTCAGGAGCTCTGTGGGGAGAGAAAAGGGGGTGAGAGCGGGGTGGGGGTACAGGGGGGCACAGAGGCTGTGGGAAAGCAAAGGGGGGGACACGACCCCCATTTGGGGACCCCCCTTTACCTTCTCCCGCAGGTAGAAGCCGAGCCCCAGCAACAGGAAGACCAAGCCCAAGACGAAGCCCCCGACCCCCACCAGGATCTTGCTGCGGACGGTGTCCGGTGGCATCTCTGGGGGGGAGCCGGGGGGGTCAGCACCCCCAAAACCTCCTCCCACACCCCACCCAGCACCCCACAGAGCCCGGCCCGCTCTCCCCCAGCCCACCCGGGGGTCCCTGAAACCTCCTGCCAGTCCCTTCCCAGCCCCTGCAGGAATCCCACCCAGCCCCTCCCAGACCCTTTAGGACCCTCCCACCCTCCTCACATCACCCCCAGCACCCACCAAACTCCCTCCCAGTTGCCCCCAGTCACCCCCCGAGCCCCCGGCCCCCCTGCCAGTGTGCCCCCGGTGCTGGGGGGGCCGGGCCGTACCCCAGTCCCGGCTGAGGGGGTGCTCCAGGCTGACGTGCTCCACCTGGCAGCTGTAGGTGACCCCGCGCCGGGGGGGAATTTCCAGCAGCACCAGCACCTGGTAGGTCCAGTCCCCGGTGGGGACCACGTCGGTGGCCACCACGTGCTCCGGCAGCTCCTGCCCATCCTGGAACCACCTCACCTGCACAGGCGCAGGGTAGAAATCCATCCCGGAGCAGAGCAGGCGGCCGGGGCCGGGCTGGGAGCTCGACGGCACCAGCGAGATGGACACACTGGGGGGCACTGGGAGGGACGGGGGAGACACTGGGCTCAGCTGGGGGGCACTGGGAGGGAGGGTAGAGGGCTTGGAGGACATGGCTACGGATTGGGATGGCACTGGGAGGGACTGGGATGGCAGTGGGAGGGACTGGGAATAGACTGGGGGAGAAGGGGAGGGGCTCGGAGGGCACTGGGGAGAGAGTTGGGAGATGTGGGAGTGAAGTGAGAACGACTGGGAATGGACTGAGAGGGTCTGGGGAGTGGAGTGACGGGGACTAGGAATGACTGGAAAGGACTGGGAATGACTGGTCTGGCCTGGGAAGGAAGCGATCGGGACTGGGAGGCTGAGTCCTGGTGAGGGAACTCTTTGGTTTGGGTCTGCCTGGCAACTGGAGCGTCAT